AAAATAATCTTCACCAATCAAAACAGGTTTAGAAAATGCAGTTTATTGATGTTGCTAAGTAAAATATCATAAACTAACCAGTGATATTACAGTTTTTTAATGGTTTCTAAAGAAAATTTTTTAAAACATGAAATGAAAATACTTTAAGAAATATATAATGGTTCCTTGTAGGGTATATGGTTAAGATTTTATTCTTCAATTTACAGAAATTTTGAACTTTGTTGCATTATGAGGACAATCGTAGAAAACCTGACGTCTCGGTGGGCTCGTACTTGTGTACTTACCTCCAGTGCGAGAGGTGTGAGTTTTATTTCCGGCAAGGTGAAACCAATTCCTGTAAATTTGATATTTGCAGCTATCCGCTATGTTCGATGCATTAGGGAATTATGGTATAATAGCATTTTTATACTGATTGGCTCAGAATCAGAAATCAGAATATTATGTGTCAATGTAGGGTGTGACATGTCTTCCTGAGGGTTGTAACTTTGTGAACAAGCGCATTAATTGGGGTCTAGTACAAAGCACACACATTTTCTCTCTTCGGGATATTCATGGTATGTTTGCCACTGAAGGTTTAACACCAATCCACCCATGCATTTGCAAAACGGTTGGCGCTTTCATATAAAGATTTTTCATAACATGTCAATAGAACATTCCATGCAACCAAAAGTCAAAATTTACAACAATTACGGCAAGGTTGAACTATGGACATGCGCGTCAATTGCAAGGAAATTCTTATAGTGCTTTTTGGGAGAAGACGTATCTAAGTTGTGAAATTTGTTGTTATTTTGAACAATACAATACAATGCCCATATATTTAAACATATCATCCCATATCTTTTTATATTTTATATTTTGTTATTTTTAGGCAACGAAAATTTCCACTCTCTAACATCACAACACAACTATGAAATGAGGATCAGTTTAATCGATTTTGACGGAAACACTGCATTTGCAAAATATAAAGAGTTTGCAATTGGAGATGAAAGTTCAAAGTTCAAGCTAACCGCTAATGAATACCATGGTACTGCAGGTACATATACATTTATTTTAAGGTTTTTTCAATATTCATAGTTTTTTTTTGCTATGTACTTTGTCTATATGCCTTTTTATGTTTCTTTGTTACATACATAACGTGTCTCTGTACTTATACATCCCGTCATTGTGTTATTGTTCTATGGTAAATTTGTGTATTCTTGTCTTTAATTTTTGCTAATATGATTGGTCTATTACCATTTTGTGATTCTTTGTTACATTTTTATATGGTTTTTTTTTAGCGATTAAGATTATAACACAATGTTGACTGCTGTATTTTTGACATTTTTACCTATTAAGTCTGTTTGTTTTGTTCACGCATCGTTGTCAATATAATGTAATATTATGCGACTGTCATACAAGTGAGAAGTTTAGCTAGCTATAAAACCAGGTTCAATCCACCATTTTCTACATAAGAAAAGCCTGTACCAGGAAAATGACAGTTGTTATCCATTCGTTTGATGTGTTTGAGCTTTTGATTTTGCCGTTTTGAATTTTCTTCGGAGTTCAGTATTTTTGTGATTTTACTTTATAGTTGTATGGGTACAATGTAATTAAACATGATTTGATGAATACTTAACGTGAATCATTTTATTGATAGAATGTTGATTTTTTTATTAAGGTTTATTTATTAAAGTAAAACAAATGGCCTAGGATTAAAACGTTCCAACAGTCAATTATATAACGGGGTGGATACTGGCATATCTTCCTTTGGGAATTTATATCTTATCTTCCTTAAGGAATATACCTTATCTTCCTTAAGGAATTTATACCTTAACTTACTATTATCATAGGAAATACTGAATATCAATATCAAACTTGAGCAAAGCGATCCTTAACAAAAACACATCTAACTATTTAAAGGATTCAATTTTTGATGGAGTATTTGTAATTTCAGGTAACAGCTTGGAACATCACAACGGCCATGGTTTCTCAACAAAGGATAGCGATATCGATAATCACCTTATTCACTGTGCTACAGTGTTTCCCGGAGCCTGGTGGTTTAATGCCTGTGTAACATCTGATCTAAATGGTCAGTATTTTCAGAAGACGCCAGACTCCGACCATCGAGGCGTTTACTGGCGTTCATGGAAAGGATCAAACTATTCTTTGAAAGGCTCATTGATGATGATGCGTAGAGTGTCAATTTAGAATTCACACATTATAATTTTTGTAATGAATTAAAAGTGTTTAATTAAGTAGTATTAATTTTCTAGATGCATCAGTCCAGTTTACATCGGACTAAAATTTAGTTCGTGAGAGAATCGACACAGTGTCAACATCTAGGACAAATCTGATTAATCCTATAATATCGCCTCAACTGCACTACGTTTGCTTCATATTCTTAGACAGGCAGATAGATATAAGAAGATGTGCACAAGTAAATCATTATAGGTCAAACTACGGCCTTAAACACGGAGCCTTGGCTCACACCGAACATATAGTATGTTACTATTAACGCAAACATTTGCGTTATAACGCAAACATATTGATTTCAATTATTAATATAGTTTTTGAAAATTTGTAAATTTAACAAAAATCGTCGGTTACAAACGCGCAATAAGTTGAATAAAGATGGTACTCAGAATAAAAATCTTGTACGGCTTCTGATTGGATGATACTAGATTGGAATTACCTTTAATCGAAAGGCTTATCCAATTCGGTTAAAGAAAATACAGAAAATCGATATCACATTTTACAAAGTATAGAAAATATTTCAATATCTGCATGTCGGAGTCATTAAAAATCTGCCTTTTTCATTTAGCGACTAATTAGATGACGTTTTTCAACTGCATTTTAGGTCATTTTTTGCCGCAAACCATATATATTTTTTTGGTTGTTATGAAAGTTAAACTCTGACATTTCTAGTAACAGGAACTGCTATTAATTTTGTCCTAGTATATATAGTTCTTGAGAAATAAAATATACAACACCACTGGTACCCTATGAAAAACGCATTTCGAATAATTCGCTATTGGAACCCTAAGCCCATCTTCGCTAGCCAAGGGTTACGATTCAGTCCCCTCCTCTCCCTATTGGCAGATTAAGCCAACATTTGTGATATAATGTTGCGCCATCTATCGGTTGATATAAGTCACGCCCATTCTGAATGCATTATACTTGACTTATGGTAGCACTTGAACTCTCTTCAGTGTAGAGGTGTAAAAATTGTAGCGTTTAGAGTAAACTGGTCCAGCGAAGGAACGGGTTGGAGCCATTGTCACATTGGTGTTAATTGGACGAGTCTTACAAATTCAATGATTTGCTACGAAATTAACCAATAATATTGGGCAGAGAAGATGCCCTTAGCCTGGTCACTGTAAAATTGAAGTTGTCTCCCTTTCTCCACTAAGTTCAAATTTATTTTCAAATAGCGTGTTCTACGATGGAGAGAGTTTTCACTTATATGTAACATTTTGGGGTAAAGATTCGTTTGCCATTAAACATATAAGATAATATTTTTACCTAGGAAAGCACATTATAGCAATTAAGTGAAAACAAAATATGCCATGTAAAAAATCTCTTGAAAGATGCAGATTCAAGAGTGTCAACAATGGTGTAACAAACGGACGGACCGACGGAATAGCAGACGGATGAATAATCATTGTTTTACTACTACCCTTCGAAGCATCGCTGTAAAAAGATAATTACTCTGACAATAAGAAAGCTGTCGAGAGAAGAAAAATGGAATGAAAATATTGACTTTCAAGTACCGAAAACGTTTGTGGTAAATCATTTTTATATATAAATATGTAATTTCTAAATATATTTTTAATTTTCCTTTTGATTTTGAAAATGCTCATCCAAAATGTGTTTCACAATAAATTCGAGTTCTACCTGTTTATTTCAAATTTGAACTATGTCTCTCCCAAAATTATTAAATGACTGCTGACTCAGGTTTATTCAAATACATATGATTGTTCAATGGATATTAATCTTATGGGTTTTTTTGCAAGCTCCGCGGGCCATATTGTGCTAATTTAAGAAAATTCTGTTTCAAAAATTATCTAATGCCGTTAGTAATGGGCAAAATGTGGGCAATTTTTTTTGTCAAGGTGCTGGCCAACAGTGAAATTAATTTCATTTCAGTCAAAATCAGGGCCAGAATTATTTTCATCTGAAAACCCCCAGATTTTGTTAATTGAATACGAACATCAGCATTACCCTATCAAATCTCGGATTTATGGCTTTCTAACTTTCGCCGAAATCGATATATAATTGTACAAGGTTTGGATACCTTTCAAGATAACAAATGATAGCGCTTATCATACACCATCTTGTCACCTTCGTGTTAAAGTATCGGTAATGCAAATATGACCAACAAAAATGTGGTGTAAAATTCAGTATCCCAGATACATAATAAAACAAAATACATGTTAGTACATTTTTTTTTCAATAATAGACGTGTTTGAATACGATATTTTAATCTTCGACCCTAATTCTCTTGGAAACTTATTAGGTTGTCATTGAACTCCACAAGTAAGATCAAAGAAAAACACTAAGGTTTAAGTAAAGCCATCTCTCAAATGTATTTGAAAGTAAACATTTATGTCAAATGATGTACAATTATGTTCTTATTTCTGTTGTATGGCAGTGCGTGCACTTTTGGGTTTTGGTATCTTCTAATTATTTTTAATTTTTTTAATGATACTGTAAGATGCCTATATTGATTTTGTACCAAATGAGAGCTAACAAAAATATAAGTAATACGTTAATTTTACTATGATTTAAAGTAAAGGTATTGTTTACTGGTCTTTTGTTTTACAACATATTGTGCGCGAAAAAAATCCCCAAAAATCAAACTCGAATAGAAGATTAGTCTAAAATGTTACAATTTAGAATAAGAATGTAACTTTATTTACATTTTTGGCAAACAATTTAGTGTATGACTGTATCTAATCAATATTGTAACAATATATGAACAGTTTGTCACTATAGAATTTACTATTCGCGTGTCTTTCCGTTTCAGTTCGTATGTAATTTCAATCAATCAATTGGAATATTTTCTACTGGATTTTTGTCTTTGAAGTGTACGTAGAAATTAACAAAAACATGTTCTTGAGAAAACATAGTTTAAGACATATTTTGGCAACCTTTTTACTATTTACTATAAAAGAAGTTGTTGGCAAAGAAATGTATAGCTGTTTGGAATTTAGCCTTAATAGCAACACATGGGCATTTAAAGACAACAATATCAAGTTTAACATGAATACCAAAAGCAAAAAACATAATTCTAATGTATTGGAAGATATTCTAAAATTCCTGAAAGGTAGGGCTTATTCTATTTAAGTACCTCATGTCGTGAGGGTAAAAAATCAGCATAATATTTGTGAGTATCACAGGTCAACTATAAAGCTTGTAGACTATGAGTCAATGAGGATGCCTTTTTTTCAGTGATAACAGCTAATTTACTCAGATGATATAAATGCAACATTTTGGCGGTAAAATTCGAGTTCATATTTTATCTTAGTGTACTCAATATAATCAATATAATCTAAGGTTATGTCCGGCAAATTTTACTTTTTGTAGTTTTTGGCTTATCTAGTATTAGTAGTTTTTATTCTATGAAACGTTTTACAAAGCTTTTCTACCTCGGAAATAGATTACCTTAGCTGTATTTGGCAAAACACTTCAACTTCGTATTTTTATAACTTTTTTGATTCGAGCGTCACTGGTGAGTCTTTTGTAGATATAACGCGAGTCTGGCGCAACTACAAAATTTCTATCCTGGTATCTATGATTAGTTTATTCATATTGACGAGTAAACACTTTTCATGATTTAGTTGATTATGATTAATCCCGCTGTAATTAATTTTAAACTACCTAAATATTATTTCGTAATGATGTATTATCGACTTTATATATGAACTAGTATAGGAGTAAACGCATTTTTAAAGGAACTTATTGATGTATAAAGTGGACAAATTCACTCGCAAACAAATAGAAGTCCGAAGGATATGTTTCTGAGTGACTTGGTCTAATTTATACACCAATAAATACCTTTAAAAACGTTTAATTCTGATAATTCTTCAAAATTGGAGATATTTAATTATCCCACTCGTAACCTCTATCACACCTAATTGTATATTTGTGTTATTGAATTGGCCTGGCGCATGAATAATTTATTTGGTTAATGCAAAAAAAATTTACTTCGGTGAAAATTACTACAATTTGGGTAGTCCAGAACATACAGCCCATAATGTTTTGTTTATTTTTTACGAGCAGCTGCCTTACTGTATCAAACCTCAAGATTGATGACTTTCTTGTATCTTATATTTTGTAGTTTTTGTCGAGCCTGCGACTTTTGTCACAGAAAGCTCGACATAGTGATAGTCATCCGGCGGCGGCGGCGGCGGCGTTAACTAACTTCTTAAAATCTTTATATTTTTGAAGATGAAAGACTGAGATGCTTCATACTTTGTATATAGATGCCTTATGTTACGAAGTTTACGTCTGTCACATGTCCATTGTCCTTGACCTCATTTTCATGGTTCAGTGACTACTTGAAAAAAAGATTTTTGTAATGTTAATTTCTCTCTTATAATGAGTAATAGGATAACTATATTTGGTATGTGGATACCTTGCAAGGCCCTCATGCCCGTCAGACAGTTTTCACTTGACCTCGACCTCATGTCATGGATCAGTGAACATTGTTAAGTTTTGGTGGTCAAGTCCATATCTCAGATACTATAAGCATTAGGTCTAGTATATTTGGTGTATGGAAGGGTTGTAAGGTGTACATGTCCAACTGGCAGGTATCATCTGACCTTGACCTCATTTTCATGGTTCAGTGGTTACAGTTGAGTTTTTATGTTTTGGTCTGTTTTTCTTATACTGTTTGCAATTGGTATACTATATTTGGTGTATGGAATGATTTTAAGGTATACATGTCCAACTGACAGGTGTCATCTGACCTTGACCTCATTTTCATGGTTGAGTGGTCAAAGTTAAGTTTTTAATTTTTGGTCTTTTTTTCTAATACTATATGCAATAGGTCAACTATATTTGGTGTATGGAAATATTTTATGATGTACATGTTAGTCTCGCAGGTTTTACTTGACCTTGAATTCACTTTCACGGTTCATTGCTCAGTGTTAAGTTTTTTGTGTTTTGGTCTGTTTTTCTTAAACTATAAGCAATAGGTCAACTATATTTGTTGTATGGGAGGATTGTAAGCTGTATATGTCTGTCTGGCAGGTATCATCTGACCTTAACCTCATTTTGGCGGTTCATTGGTCAATGTTAAGTTTTCATGGTTAGGTTTGTTTCTGAGATACTAAAAGCAAAAGGACAACTATATTTAATGCATAGATTGATTGTAAGGTGTACATGTCTGCCTGGCATGGTTAATCTGACCTTGACCTCATTTTCATGGTTCATTGGTCAATCATGAGTGTGTAGTTTCTTGGTTAAGTATGTTTCTTAGAAACTATAAGCAATAGGTCAACTATATTTAGTGTATTGAATGATTGTAAGGTGTAGATGTATTTCTCGTTTGGTTTATTGACCTTGACTTCATTTTCTTGGATCATGTTAAGTTTATGTGATAGTTGTAGTAAAGCTTTATAATTAGGATTATCAACATAATATCAATGGTTAGTAAAGAAGGCAAGACATTTCAGCGTGTGTACTCTTGTTATTCTATTCAACGTTTTATATCTTTGTCATTCTACTCTCTCGTTATTGAGTGTTCTGACCCTTTTTAGTGATATTCTCTCAAAGTTGATTAACTGTATACCGCCGTCTTGGATTGTATTATAACAGTACACAATCGGTCTAGTTCTTCGTTTCAATCTGCAAGTTTTTAAACAGAATATCAATTAATGTGTACGATTGTCTATTTGATAAAAAAAAAAATAGTGACTGATATTATCAATACCGAATCTTTGTTTTTGTTTGATATAATTTTTCAAGTTATAATACTGTTCATATAAGGGGAGATAGCTTTTATAGAATTTTTTTTATACAGGAATGTTATTCTTGTAGCAAGAGAAACAAGTTCGATGAAACCATATTTTATATATATAAAAATCTGTCTATCCCATTGATTTCTTTTACGAACACAATGTGTATTGGTCGACGATCATTAGCGACATAACTTCGCATTCTTCATTTTTCATTGATAGATTCAAACCTGTCTTCTATAAAACCAAGAAAAAGACTTCTGGAAGTGGCCAAAGGTTAACGAACATATCAAAGTTCAACACTTGCACATGACTTTAAGTATGCTTCTAAATTTGCTGTCGACGGACGTCTGAATACAATTCAACACACAAAGAAGCAACATTTTCCGTACTGGGTAGTAGATATTGGCACCATATATAACATAGAACGAGTCGAAATTTATAATCACCAAAACTGTTGTGGTAAGTCATTTTCCTAAAAAATATAATTTGAAAAAAAAGAAGTTTTGGTTATATAAAAGAAACAATGAAATAGTTAAGAATTGCAATTAACCTTCGTGATATTGAACTAACATGTTTGCAATACAGATAATTACCCTCAGTATAAATACTTGCAATCTAAGGCGCATCGTGTCACTGTAAAAGACCATGTGAAATATAGGACATAAGAAAAAAATATTTTTAGAGAACAAACATTTTTTATACATTTCATTGCGTATTTGGACGATCCTAGATAAAAAAAAAACATTCAGGCTTTTTTTATTTCCTATTACTTCATTTGTTATATAAACCTTAAACGTCCATCAAACATAGACACGGAAGGAATGTTTATGTTGAGTTCCAAAACTGACTAAATCGAGAAATACACAAGTTATTTATTCATCAAGAAACGCTCATGTGAAGCTTCATCTTGTCTGACCTATAGGCAAATGTACGCTTTTAGCAAAATAGGCAAAAAATTCCTAACTTATAAATGTCAATTCTAAACTTTAACTGTTTTGTAGAAGAACGTCTTCGTTATTTAGATATATTATTTGGACCGTATCATAATGCTATGAAATTATGTGCACACTATGCAGGACCAAATCATACAGGAGATCATCTGGTATTCAACTGTAGTGGAGTCTTACCAGGGAGATATGTAAAACTTATGATGAGGACAACATAATATCTTCATGTAGCTGAAGTGAAAGTATTTCCTGGGATAAAATGAATTTTTGTTTCTAAATATTATTGTTATAATATTATTCTGTTAGAAGGACACTTTGCACAAGTTAATCATTGCTGACGTTAGAAAACAGAGTAAAAACTAGCGACTCTTCTTGAAATGGTCCTTAAATGGTTCCATTTTCCCACAATTATAACGAAACGAAGGCACAACACTTTTGTGTACATTTACCATCGACATGTTACCATGGGAATGTCAACGCATTGTGCTCGTACTCTACTGAAAGGCAAAGCCGGCAACGTTTTGTGCCGAATTCTTTGTCAGGTTCCTATAATCGGACATCTGTATGTTGTAGAAGACAGATGCGCGATAATATAAACAAATACATAATATAAAGGGAGATTTGATATTCTCGCATTTTCTTGTTACCATTTATATTATATGTTATTCAGGTCTCAGACAGGGTATATACTGTGATATCCCCGGCTTAGAGTTTATATCCCCTTAGCCGAAGGCGAATTACACATATATTACGGATTACCCCTGTCTTCATGTTTTTCTTTTTCGATTGCAGGTATTTGTTAAACAGTCACAAAGTAAAATTGAGAATGGAAATGGGGAATATGCCAAAGAGCAGATAAAAGCTGAATAAACCAATGGGTCTTCAACGCAGCGAGAAAATTCCGCACCCGGAGGTGGTACTCTGCTGGCCCCTAAATAAAAAATTGTACTAGTTCAGTGAAAATGGACGTCATACAAAACTTCAAAACATATAAATAAACTAATATTATAAAACATACAAGACTAACAAAGACCAGAGGCTCCTGACTTGGGACAGGCGCAAAAATGCGGCGGGGTTAAAGATATTTTGTGAAGTCTCAACCCTCCCCTATACCTCTAGCCAAGGTAGAATAAAGAAACACACAGCAATACGCACAGTAAAACTCAGTTTAAAAGACGTCCGAGTCCGATGTCAGAATAGGTAACAAAAGAAACTAAGCAAAATGACAATGTTACATAAATTAACAAGAGCATGCCAGCTCCAGACCTCAATTAAACTGATTGAAAGATTATGTCAGCATCATATGCAAATCAAGTACAATCTCTCCCGTTAGGGGTTTAGTATCATACCATCATAAAATATATGAGAAGAACATAACCCGTATCATGCCATCAACTGATTTTAGAATAAATGTGTTTATTCCCGATGCAAAGACCCTATGAGTGAATCAATATTAATACCAAAATATGCAATCCTTAATGACCAGACAACAGTATCGTAAATATATCCCTTCCGAATAAGTCTGTTTAAAGGTTTGGTTAGCTTTTGAGGTGAATGCCGACATTTTTGTGCTTTGTAAAGAATATTACCATAAAAGATTTGATAAAAAATACCTTAACGTATAAGATGTCTGCATGTTGATTTATATTTACGAATGATGTCCTTGTACCGATGATAAAATTTAGTAAATGTTTTGACTAGTTTGTGAAATCGAAAACCCTGGTGTAATAATTTTTCAGTAACACAGAGATTTCTGTCGTTAAAATCGAATACGTTGTTACATACACAAGCAAATCGGACAAGTTGAGACATATAAACACCATAAGATGGTGAAAAGGGAACGTCACCGTCTAAAAATAAATAATTAACAATAGCAAATGAAAACTCATTTCTTTTATCATAAATTTTGGTATTAAGCTTCCCGTTAAAGATATAGATATCAAGATCCAAGAAAGGGCAGTGTTCATTGTTAGTAATAGCTTTATTTAAAGTCAGTTCGGCCGGATAAATCTCTTTATCCTGCAATCAGCTAACTATTGTACAAATAACAGGTACACAAATATTTTTTTGCTTTATTTGTACAAGTACAAATAAAGTCTCCTGTTACCCCGCTTCTATGTTGAGCAAGCGGTGATGTGGATATTTCTTTTTGCGTACCAGTTCATCTTGGGGTCCTCTTTGCGGTCCGCGTTTAAACTATGTCGATTTCTTTGCAAAATTAGAGACAATGATTTACAATTTAACAACTAAAGTTTCAAGTGTTGGGTGTAAATTTCAGGATAAAAACAATATATGTACATTGTCGGAAAATATAAAATTTATTTGTACTCGCTACGAAACAGGAGAAAAGCTCGGCGAGCCTCGCTTTTCGTCCTGTTTCTAATGCTCATACAAATAAATTTTATATTTTTCGACAATGTACATATATTGTATATTTAGTGTACATACTGAAGTCGTCATTATGTATATTCATTACATGTTTATTGTTTCTTAATTTTTTGAGTTATCCATTTATATGCACCTTTTTATCTTGACAATATTTTTTCCGTTAAGAAAATGTTTTCAATAAAGTTTTTAGATATCATGTTTTGTGTTTGTATGTGTTTGTGGCTTCGTTTTTTACAACACATATATTGAAAAAACCCAACCTAATATGTTCCGCATACGTGAAGGATTATGTAATTTGCTGTGAAAATGATTTTATCGTGGATGTAATAATTTATAATAATACTTTAAAAAATTAAATCTAAGTATTTAACATGTTTAAAGTGTTAATTGCGTGATTTTGTATTAAAAATGTATTATTAACGGATGCGCGTCTGCCGTCATTATTTTCCCTCTGTGAGCTTCTGACATTCTTTAGTGACCTGTATAGCTTTTGGTTACGTCACATAGTAACCGGTGTTTTGATGACTTTTTTGAGGTTCCAATTGGAGATAACAACGTCGTAAATTACGGATTACAAATTTGTCGAGTTTTGTGATTGGATAACAACACAGAGATGTCAGTATATATTCAGGAAACTGCCGGGGTATATACGACGTTTTCATCCCCAATTTGAACCTCAAAAACGTTATCATAACACCTGTTACTATGTGAAGTAATCAAAAGCTATACAGAACACTAAAGAATGGCAGAGGCTCACAGAGGGGAAATTATGACGTACATCCGTAAAAAAATCATTTGTAATACAAAATCACGCAATTTACACTTCAAATACTTAAATTTAATGTTTTAAAGTGTTATTATAAATTATTACATACACGATACAATTATTTTCACAGCAAATGACAAAATCCTTTACGTATGCGAAACATATCAGTTGGGGTTTTGAATATATATGTATATGTGTTGTAAAAAACAAAGCCACACACACATACAAACACAAAAGATGAAATCTAAAAACTTTATTGAAAACATTTTCTTAACAAAAAAAAAGTAGCAAGATAAAAAAGGTGCATTTAAATGGATTACTCAAAATATTAAGAAACCATTAACATGTAATGAATATATATGTTTAACAAATACCTGCACTGGAAAAAAACATTAAAACAGGGGCAATCCGTAATATATGTGTAATTCAGGTCTCAGACAGGGTTTATACTGTGACATTCTCGGTTAAGGGCTTATATCCCATTCGCCTTCGGCTCAGGGGATATAAACTCTAAGCCGGGAATGTCACAGTATATACCCTGTCTGAGACTTGAATAACATATAATATACATATCAAATAGAACAAACATAAATTTAGAGGCAGGAATAAAATTGTTTTCCTGTGTCGGCCTAAAAAATATAATTAACCATTGAAAAGTGCTTTCTTTTCTCATATTGCAACCTCTTTGTACTCATTCCCAGTACAAAGGTACTATTTTCGACGGTGGCAAATATATAACCAATAGAAATTATCAGTTATTGAGGCATGGACAATTTCAAAAGTTCAATGCGATCAAAGATGTCAATTTCCTACGTGTATATACATCTTTAAATATGTCTCTCTTTGGTGTAGTGTTATACTGCTGTTTCAGGTTAGAATGAAGATTAGCGTCTGTTTAAACTTTTAAATCCGTTGTATATGTTTGTACCTGTCCTAAGTCAGGAACCTGTTGTTCAATGGTTGTCGTGTTTTGATGTGGTTCATAAGTGTATCTCGTTTTTTCGTTTTTTTAATAGATAAGACCGTTGGTTTTCCTGTATGAGTGGTTTTACACTAATCGTTTTGGGGTCCCTTAATTATGTGTAAAGCTTGCTGTTCGGTGTGAGCCAAGGCTCCGTGTTGAAGGCCATACTTTTACCTATAATGGTTTACCTTTTACAAATTGTGACTTGGATGGAGAGTTGTCTCATTGGCACTTATACCATATATTCTTATATCTACATATATTTATTAACCATTGTAATTTCCTGATGAAGGTTCACCGCATTTTTACCTTTAATGGTGATTATGTTATACTCATAATGAAGTTGCTATTACGCCTCCAATAGATTTAAAAAAAAATCAAAATTATCTACAAAATGTTATCTTATGAAAATTATTTTTTTTTCAAACAATGTACATCTGACAATGGTGCATGTTGTGATCATTGAATTGGTTGTCTATGCAGATTGTTAAAACATATCACAGTCGGAAAGCTAACACTGGTTTTATCTCAGTCAATATGTCAACAATGGAAGTCATGTGACTATTAATACCATATTTGGTCATATTTTTTGTCATTTTTGTTCAAACTTTGTTGATAAAGTCCTATCGTATGTAATCAAAACATGCTTAACATTCTAAATGACAACTGTGTACACTTTTTAGAAGTTCCAACATAGAAATTGTTTTGATTAAACATACTGAATTAGAGTACACAGCCTTCAAACCCAAGGTCGTCAACCATCGCGTCATTTTTTTTTTTTTTTTTGAAAAACGAAGTTTAAATTTCTGTCTCAATTTCTGGGGAACCTATGCTGAATTTAAATTATGTGATGAGGCTTTTTATGAACTGGTTTGTGTCAAATTTGTGCAACTTAATATGCAATATGTGTAATATGCCACAACAGTGTCATTTCAATCTGTCAAAGTTTCTGACGTAGCAGTTCTGATTGTGATTTATGTGTTACACACCTTTATTGACACCTTCTCAGAACAAAGACATTTGTACTATTATATATCAGACTTATATCCAGCTGAAATTAAAGAAAAGAAATGGGACACTTAATGTGTAAAACAAAAAAATTACGATGTCAAAAATGTCTCTTCATCGGAATTTAGTTAAAACGGGGTTGTATAAGAGGTGACAAAACCTTAGACGATTTGTATTTTTAACTTTAAGATACATATTCATTTGTTTTTACTTCTGTAGATTATATGATAACGTAGGTTAATCTGAGGAAGTAAAAACTAACAAAGAATTTCGCCTTGTTTTAAGACGACCAATCTTTTCTTTTATAATAAAGGCACATTCTTTAGAGATACAAAGACATTATTAATGTCTGACTCCAGCGGGAAGTAAGGAACAGAAAACAGTTTTTTTTAAATTACCGCCAATTTAACAAATTTCAAGCAAAGTTAATACACACATTAACGGGCTTTACTATCCGTTTCGGTGTTGTCTTTAGGAAGTAGCAACAACGGTCGTTTCAAAAGGGTTGC